GCCCAGTGACGACGAACACGCGCACGACAGGCATCGCGACGCCACAAAATGACGTCATCGACACAGAAAATCAGCCACACCAGCCACCATCGTCACAACAACTACTAAAACAATGTAAGAACAGAGTGGGGACCTTAGAAATATTGTGAAGTCGATTCACATGACGGGGATAAACGAAGATAACGCATGACGCGATAAACACGACGCAACAGCCACACACACACATACACAAACACACACCACACACACACAAACACACCACACACACACACACACATACTAACACACACACACACACAATGCAACAATAAACATGACAACAACATTAAAAAACAGCACAAATAACGAAATAAAACAGGAAAACACAAAATAAGCAACAAAATACAACATATCTCACAACTGACAAAGCAATGATACACAAGGCAACAAACACAACATCAACATCAACATCCTTGTCAACAACAAAAACATCAACAACAGCAACAAAACAATGATAAGCGAGGCAACAAACACAACATCAACAACAACATCATCATCGTCAACAACAACAACAACAGCAACAAAACAATGATACACGAGACAACCAACACGACGACTTCTAAAAGAAGTGTTAAAATATTAGGCGACAGAGACGATGATGAAGATGGTGATGATGATGGTGATAAGAAAGACGATGGTGATGATGATGGTGATAAGAAAGACGATGATGATGATGATGGTGATAAGAAAGACGACGGTGATGATGATGGTGATAAGAAAGACGACGGTGATGATGATGGTGATAAGAAAGACGATGGTGATGATGATGGTGATAAGAAAGACGATGGTGATGATGATGGTGATAAGAAAGACGATGGTGATGATGATGACGGTAACAATGATATACATGATGGTATATGGGTATATAAGTGTATGTGTGTATAGAAATTTAGCAATTAATTAAAGCAATTAATCACTTTTCCTTCTGCTTTTCTGCCAATGTTTGTTTTTTTGTTTATATTTATCTATTTGCTTTACAACTTAATTGTTTGTTTATTCATCCAATTTTTCGTTTATTCACTCATTTACTTACTTTATTCATTTATTTATTAATACAATTCGTTTATTCATTTATTCATTATTGCAAGCGTTCTTTACTAAATTACCTAATTACACATTTAACTATTCATTCATTCATCCATTCATTCATTCATCCATTCATTCATTCGATTTATCAACTCATTCAATCATTAATTTTTAAAAGTTTCAGTGAAATTATTTTTTTCCAAGTTTTTAATCTCTTCAAAATATATCCTCCCTTACTCTCAATGGGAGATCGGCTAAAAAATTTCAAATCATCGTCGTCAATTCAATCAATGTTTTGGAAAAATTTATGTCTTTGTCTGTCTACATGCCTGTCTGTTTGTCTATACGTCTGTCTGTCTCTCTACATGTCTGTCTGTTTGTCTATACGTCTGTCTGTCTGTCTACACGTCTGTCTATCTAATGATGACGATGATTATACATAACGGAGATTATGATGACGACAATAATGAAAAAAAGATAATCAAGGTTTACACTTACACCTTGATCATTCTTTTCAGTCTGTGTTGTATTGGCTGTCTGTTCGTTTATTTGTCTGTCTGTATACTTATTTGTTTGTATTTTTGTTTGCTTGCAGGTTAGGTTGTATTCCGGTATAATTGTCTCTAGCTTAATGTCGGTTTTGTTGACTGATTTTATATTTGTATCAAAATATATGTTCGGATGCCTTGTTGAATGTCACTCTCTTCCTACTCTCTCTCTCTCTCTCTCTCACTTTTATTTTTTTATGTATCTCTTTGTTTCTTATTCTCTCTTTCTCTTTTTATTCATTTTTATTCATTTTTTTATTCTCAACTTCTGTTTCTTCATCTTTGACAGTTACTGTATTTCTTGTTATAAATTTTTTCTCCAAAACATATTTATTTCTCTGTATTTTCTTTCTTTTTCTCTCTCTCTTTCTCTCTTCTTTTCCTCTCTTTCTCTTCCTTTTATATTATTACGTTTATTATTTTGGTATTATTTTTCTGATTTTTTCAGCCGGGCGGGTAGGCTTGCGGCCATGCTATCGGTTCATCTCCTGCTATCTTATCTGGCAACGACATCTCTGATGTTTAGTCTATAATGTTATGATGTATAATTATTGAAAAATCTCAAAAAACATTTTTATTATTTTATTATTCATATTTTTATTTATATTATTATTCATATTATTACTCTCTCTCTTTCCCTCTCTCTCTCTCTCTCTCATTTTCTTTGTATTTACTTTCTCGTCCGCTAGTCTGTTCTACAAAAGGCATATCAATAAATAGTAAGAAATGTATGTAATGTATGTGTATACAACATGTGATTGTACGTATGTATGTGTGTGTCTGCATGTATGCCTGTGTATCTATCTACGTATGTGTATATGTATGTGTGTGTGTGTGTGTGTGTATGAACGTATACATAGGCGTCTTTGTGTCTCTATTTAATCATTCGTTTGATTGTTATTTGCATTTTCAATGAGAAATGAAAAAAGAAATAACTAGTAAGAAATAAGAAAAAGAGAGAGAGAGAGAGAGAGAGTAAAAGAGTGAAAGAGAGAGATGGAAAGAAAGAAAAAGAAACGGAAGAAAGGAATATGAAGGAGAGTAACAAAAGGGAATACTAATAGAACAGAAGAAAAAGAAAGAGAGAAAGAGAGGGAAGGAGGAAGAAATAAAGAAAGAGTGATAGAGAGAGGGAGATAGTATCAATGTTAAATGAGGAAACGCGTTACACATCAAAGTTTGATAGTGTTTTTCCGAGTTCTCATTTACTCATCTGTTCTCTGCTTTTCTTAGAAAAGTTCGTTTCTCCAAAAATTGTTACTTGAAAAATGATTTTTTCTTAAAATATTTAGAATTATTATTATCTTGAAACATTTTAAAATATTTTAAAATTATAAAAATCATCGCGTAGAGCTTGCCAGATGAAACTTCTTTTAATTTCGCATTACTTTTCTGATCTTTCATTACAATTATTTCAAATTGAAAAAAGATACTTTTAAAGAAAAGATTTTCACGCCTTTTAAAAGTGCAATTAAATATCAAGAAAGTTTTTTCTAGAGCTGTTCCTGCGATAATTAAAAATAATGAATGGGAGGTACTTATTTGGATTATTATTCCGAAGATTTTAAATTGCTCTGCAAAGATTCAAATCATTAAAATTAGTTTTTACATTCTTTAAACTTTTTTCTTTAAAACCTTCATTGTCAAATAATATGCCATAAGGAAAATGCTAAATAACGTATGTGTGTATATTTATGTGTTTGTGTGGTGTGCATGTGTGTGTATGTGGTGTGTGTGTGTGTGTGGGTGTACGATAGAAAGTAATCCAATACAGCCTTCGGCTCTGTGATTTGCATAGAAACATAAAGAATCCAATTTTAAGACAGCAAATAACTCTAAAAAACATTTGAAAAAATAAAATGTAATGAATTATTCAAACAATTTAAGAAGGTAATGCATATACTGGATTTCATAGGTGGATAGGTCATTTTTTACAGGACAAAAAAATATCCAGCCAAACCGAAACAAACGTTAATTACTTTGGTGAATTTTTTTTAAATTTTCACACATACAGCCGCACACAATCCACACAGCTACACACATATTCGCATACTACACACACATATATTTACACAAACACACACACACACACACTCACGCATATTTACACACACGCACGCACACACGCCACACACACGCACGCACGCACACACGCCACAAATAATGACACATCTAACACACCGAATACAAACACACACACAACACAACACGCACAACTTCAATTTTAATGATACATAAAAATAGGAAAATGAAAAATAAAATCTACATTTAAGTAAACCATACGGAAGCACACACATTGGAAAATGATGGATGCCTCGATCGCACTTGAAGAATGCCAACTAACTACAACAGAAGCTGCTACAACTACTACTAAGAGTAGTAGATGTGGTAGCTGCAGCACCGTAGTAGTAGTCGTAGAAGCGGCACAGTAGTAGTAGTAGTAGCGGCGCCATAGTAATAGTAATAGTAGAAGCAGCAGTAATAGTAGTAGTAGTATCCCACTAGCAACAGCAGTGGCAGGTGTAGTAGCAACAGTAATTACATTAGCAGTAAGTAGTAGATGCCGTAGTATAGTAGTAGGAGTAACATTAGTAATAAAAGTTTTGCTGCTAGCAATAGTTGTAATACTATAATTAATGAAAATTTTGCAAAATAGGATTTTATTTCAAAAATTCAGAAAATATAACGTATGATCTAACTTTTTCTTCATTCGTTAGTCGCGGAGTTTTACCTTTCATCATGATTTTCTTAGTACCATCAGTAGCCATTTTAGAAGTTGCAGTTACAGAATTAGTATTACTACTACTTGTAGTAACGGTGGTAGTAGTGGTAGAAGTCGTGGTAGTAGTAACTTCATCTTTTTCCTCATAATAACTATCACCATCACTCTGTGAGGTTGCTGTGCTTTCGTAATAATTATCACCATCTTCCGAGTTTTTTGGAGTATATGTCAAAACTGTAATTTTTTCTGAAGTAGTGGTAGCAGCAGCAGCAGTGGATGTAGTAGCAGTAGTTGTTGTTGTTGGATCTAAACCCCAGAACCATGCCCTTTTAACCCTTTTTCCCATTGGTTGCCCATCGTCGTAGTTATCAGCGTCATCAACAACACTATTTTCATCATCATTGTTGACGTAATCATCACTATAACCTCCTTTTCTTAATTGCTCGTTATATTTTTCGACATCACTATCATCACCATCTCCATTATTTATACCATGGTCATCGTCATAACTAGCATCATCGCCGTCGTCATCTTTAAAGAATTCATCTGGAATGATGCAGTAACCTGGATTTCCTCGGTGACCTTTTGAACCTTTTTCACCTTTGTGACCCGTGGGCCCGATGTCACCCTTGGATGAATTTTCACAGTGTAATAAGAATTCATTATTTATTAGTAAGTGTTTAATTCTTTGGCTGATTCTGATTTCAATAGAAATTCGAAACAAAATCATTGTTAGCTAACTATTAAGTAATTGAATTCAATGGAAAACATTTAAGTAAGTTAAATAAACAAATAGATAGACATTAATATAGTTTATTTTATTTAAAAGTGCTTTCAAAACATTGATTTGAATGAAACCTTCAAGCCCGGTGAACCTCTTTCACCGCGATTGCCCTGTTGAATAAAAATGAAAATTGGGAATACTTTATGTGAAAAATATTTCTTGATTTCGTAAAATATTATTAAAATAATAATCATTTTAAATTGAAAAGTTGATTGTAAAGATTAATTTTTCGCTATTTACTTTTTAAATTTAATACCATTAGTAAAAAAAATCAAAAACTTTATCCCCAGTGGGTCCAGCAGTCCCATCTCGCCCATCCACGCCTTTTGGGCCTGTCGACCCAAGTTCACCCCTCTGACCTTTCTGGCCTTTCAGACCTTTGTCGCCTTGCTTGACCTTGTTTTGATGACCGCGGTCACCTTTGAGACCCCTGTCGCCCTATTGGTATGTAGATTGATTTATCACTCTCACCCTTATCTCTCTCTCTCTCTCTCTCTCTCTCTCTCTCTCTCTCTCTCTCTCTCTCTCTATTTCTCTCTTTTGTCACTAAGTCATCAAACTTGATAAAAGCGTTTCAATATTCATCATCACTCCATTCATCATTCTCCTCGTTTGCATCATCACATCATCATTAGCATCATCACATCTTCATCTTCTTCATCATCGACTCGACCTTATCGCCTTTATTTCCTTTGGGACCAACGGGGCCAGGACTTCCCTTTACCGAAAGACCCTTTTCACCCTTCTCGCCTTTGAAAATATTTTTCGGGCTGATCTGTGTAGTTATTAAACAGTAAAAGCAACAGCAGCAGCAGCAGCAGTAGCACGTGTAGTAGTTGCAGCAGCAGAAAAAAAAACCACAACAGCATCAGTAAAAGTAGTAGCTGTAGATGTAGTAATAGAAGTGATTTAGCTTTCACTACGTAAGTCGTAAATATAATGCAGAAAACTTTGTAAACAGTAACAAATACTAGTGGCTAGTAGATACAAATATAATAATAATAATAATAATAGCACAGGCGTAATGACAGGCGTAACAGTTATAGCAGTATTTTTAAAGAGAGGCAGTAGTAGCCGGTAACTGTGGTGAAAGTATCCAGAGAGTTTAATTTTGAGTCTGGCGCGCTGAGATAACAATCTAAGTTTTTAAAAATATGCAACATGACAAATCGCACTGCATGTAGGCGCACATAGCATACAGATATATAGACACATACACACATAATCACAAACACGCACACATACGCACACGCACACACACGTCTATTAAGATACATGTGCTTCTTAGAGATAAGAGATGTAGAAGCTGATGCAAAAATTAGGTTACAAAGTTAAATTTATTTGCCCACGCACACGTACACACACACATACAAACAATTACATACACGTACACACACACACACACACACACATACTTCTGGTTCTACGTAATCTGGATCCATCAATTTCAACATTTCAATTCCACCCTGTTAGAAGTTAAAATTTTGGTGGCTATTTCTCCTTCATAATCATTATTATTATTATTATTATTATTAATTTATTATTATTATTATTATTTACCCTAAAAGGTGTTCCGAGTTTTCTGAACGAGCCCAAATGCAACAGAGCTTTATATGAGAAAACTATCGGCTGTGATTTGAAAATAATAATAATAATAATAATATAAAGAATAGTAAAAATAATAACAAAATTATCACATCACGTGACTAACGTCATCATCATCACCACCACCAACACCATGTGACTAACGGCGTCAACGACGACTCCGGTGTTCACTTCCGTCTTATCGTCAAGAACAATCTTATCTTCGTATATCCTCAATTTAAATTTCCGCCATTTTCTTCGCGAGCCATCATCATCAGCAGCAGCAGCAGCCTTCCTGTTAGCATCGTCACTATCATCGTCTTTCTTCTTGTCACCAACTTCCTTTCCAGAAAAGTCGACGTTGAAGCTGGCGATGGCTACAGCGTTCTCGCCACTTATCCACATTCCCAGTTTGAGAGAATTTTGTGAAAATTTAGTAATTAAACAATAATTCAGCTCTAACTTTTTATGTCTTATTGCTATACAGATAAATTAAGTAGAATTTGTTGGTCTATTTTTAACTATTAAAATCCAAAATAAAACTCGATTGTCGGATTCAAACCAAGGCAAGTTTTAAATCTCAGACACACAAACACATATACACACATACATACACATACACAAACAGACATAGACAGACAAACGTACGCATAAATACACACAAACACATTATATACTGTTATACTGCTCGCTCTTAACCGTTCCATGACGGTTACTGAACGAATAGGATTGTTTGTTCTCGGGAAAATTCTTTTTGTTTCTGTAAACTCGTTCGCTCAACGTTAAATAACTCGACATTGTTCGTGTACATAAAGTAATGAGAGATGACTTTAATTAGTGACTTACGTGTGTTAGGTATTAGTTAGTGTTTAAACTCCTTCTAACCAGTCAGTTCCTATTGTATGTCATCTCATTCTTATTATACAAAGTATTATATTCTCTGATGAATTATATGTTATATTATCTTATATTAAGCTGCTTTATGTCTGTAAATTTGCTGTCTTGTTGTGAACTACTTTTATAACTTAACTATCATTAGAATTACATACCTACTCTAACACATTTCAATATATACAATCTATTATTATTATTATTATTATCAAACACTTATAAAGCGCCTATTAAAATAAATATCTCTCACAAGCGCTATCGAAAAAAGAAAAATAATAAACGAACAGTGAAATAATGTACATCCTATCAATAGACGATATGATACAATCAATTACAATCGTTCATCGCAAAATGATAAGTTTTCAAATTCTTTTTGAAATCAACAATGCCCATCTTCGACATTCTCATCGACATTGGCAGACTATTCCAGACGATTGGTCCCGACACTGCAATGTCTCTAGACGATGTCTGCAGCTGCGTAGTTGGTACAATCAATAAATTGACGTCATCTGATCGCATGCGGCTTCTTTATGAATCTATCAGCCAGGTATTCTGTGAGTTGTCCGTTTATGGCCTTGTACATAATGACGCATATTTTGTAAAAAATTCGTTTCTTCAGTGTTAGCCAATGGAGGCTATTCAGAATTGGCGTCACATGATCGTATTTTCTGCCTCTAACAATCACCTTTGCAGCTCTGTTCTGAATAGACTGGAGGTCAGCAATAGACCTTTCTGGCAACCCATAAAACAGACTGTTGCAATAATCCAATCTCGAGTGGACAAACGCATGGACCAATGATTGTGTTACAGTTTGATCCAGATATTTTCTTATTCGGTATATTTGTTGAAGTTGTGCTGAACATGATTTAGATTGCGATTTTATGTGGTCACAAAGTTTTAATTTAGTGTCAAAAATACATCCCAAATTGGTAGCCTTCTTGCAAAATTTTATCTCATTATCTTCAATCATTATTGAATAAATTTATACTTTTGATAGCTGCTGCCAGGTGCCCATTGGTAAAAACTGTGATTTATTTTGATTAACTTTTAGACAATTTTTTGACATCCATGTGTCAACTTCAGCCAAACATTTTATTAGTCTTTCAACTGCACTTTCGAACTGATCTGGTTCACTGCTGACTATTATTTGAATGTCGTCGGCATATGCATGATAAGAAAAACCAAAAGTATCAATTACATTAAATACATCAGCTGTATACAGTATGAACAAAATAGGTCCAAGTATTGAACCTTGTGGCACTCCGGATGACTTTGTTTTTACACTAGACAGATGCCCTTTGTAAAATACCTGTTGAGTCCTTCCAGTCAAATAGGAGTCGAACCACTTGATAACAGTTCCAGCAATGCCAAAGTCGTGAATTAATCTGTTAATTAACCTATATTTACTTATACCTCCTAATACCTCCTAACTTGAATTATCATCTACTTAATAATACACATACACACACACTGAGACAAACGTACACATAAATACAAACAAACACACATACATACACATATACAGACAAAGGTACACATAAATACACACACACACATACACACACACACACACACACACACATATTCACACATCCCCTTACAAATATCCGGAATACAGTACGGACAAGGTACCAGTATTTTGACTGAAACTTTTATAGTTGACGCCGAACTTAACGACCCTGGAATTCCCCTCAAACTGGGTAATCCCCATTATCTGGCCGTCAGAATCAGTGTTGGGCGATATCGAAAGGTGAAGGTCGAATGGTACTGGTATGTACTTCAGGCGCATTTTGCTGGGCTGTAGTTAAGTACAACGTTGTACAATCTTGTATGGTTTATCGAAATGTTCACTCAATTAATACGAAATACTCATCATCATTCTCGTCACCGTATATTATCATCATCATGAACTACAACATCATCATCAACAACAACAACAAAAAACATCACTATCACCACCACCACCATCATCATTATTATCATCACCGTTTGATAGATGATAGTCTCTTTTTTGAATAGGAACTCATAGGCTGGAATGCCATCCAGGGACATGGTGTAACCAATCAAATCCGGTCTGATGTGACGACCAAGCTGTTGTGATGATGATGACGACGATGATGGTAGTGATGATGATGATGAAGATGGTGATGATGATAGTTATGATGATGGTGATGATGATGAGGATGATAATGAATATAATATTCAATATAATCATCATCGTTATCAGAATCATCATCTTTTTGTCATCCTCATCATCATCATCTCCATCGTCATCACCATCGTCATCTTCATTTCCATCATCATCTTTACCTCAATCAAACTCAGAAAGTCGAACTGAGTGAAGTGTTCTTTCCTAGATGATATGACCATTCCGTCATCACTTCTTTCCACCTCTCCATCACCCTCTCCATCGTCTTCATCATCTCCAATTATTGAATCCCAGTATTCCGAAGAATCTAATCATTATCGTCATCGTCGTCGTCATCGTCCTCATCACCATCACTCTCATTATCGTTACAAGAACTAAGAATACCGTTACATACGCCCATTCACTCGAAACCATTACCATAAAATATACTGAACGGTCATTTTTAATCTAATCATTGTATGTATGTATGTATGTATGTATGTTTGTATGTATGTTTGTTTGTATGTTTGTATACATGAATGTACGTGTGTGTGCATGTACGTGTGTGCATGTACGTGTGTGCATGTACGTGTGCGTGTGTGTTTGTGTGCCTCTGCGTGTGCATGTGTGCGTAGGTATGTAAGATGTTTCCTTTCATTGTTACGAATTTGGCATACTTCGGTCCACTAATACATTGATAAATTTTTCAGCTAATTTCTTTTCATTAAATAATCAATCAATCAATCGATCGATCGATCGATCGGGCAATCAATCAATCAATTAAAATACGACCAATTAACGAGTTAACAATTTTTCCATTCATCTTCAAACAAATTTAACCTCCGTCTACAACATTCAAGATCGAATGCTCCGCCGAAGATGAAAATGATGATGACGACGACGGCAATGATCCCATTTCGTAGTCATATACAATTCCATCTTTCTCATGGAAAACATCAACATCTTTGTCATCATTTCTATTACTATCATTATTATCATCATTATTATTATTATTATTATTATTATTATCATCATTATTATTATTATCATTATTGTGATTTTCAACGCTGTTTCCACCGTAATCATCACCGATATCATCATCATCGTCGTCCGGTCTACCGCTAATGTTATGAGGTTTATCACCGCTGCCTATCATCATAGCCTCATCGTTTTGATAAAAATTCAAAACATCATCATCGTCGTCGTTATTATCTCTCTCTCTCTTTATATCATTTATATAGGCAATATTATCATTGATATCATTAATGATATAGGTCGTATTATCGTTGATATCATTAATGATATAGGTCGTATGATCATTATTAATATTATTACTATCATAATCTATTACAATGTCGATGATGTTGTTATCATTACTCATTTCAGAAGCTTGTAAGCCATCGCCATTTGTGTTTGTAGTAAGAGTTGTAACCTTTGATTCACTGCTAACGGTATCATTCTTTACCAATCCAACAATTATCTCGGCGACATTAAAGTTACTACCAATGTTTGTTGGATCTGTGGCGGCCGCAGTTGAAGTTGGAGTAGCCGCTGGAAAAGCTTCCGCATTTGCAGTAAGTGGAGCGTAATTTTTAGTAGTTCTAGTATTCGTAGTAGCAGTAGTGGTTGCAGTAATAGTATTAGTAGTAGTAGTAGTAGTAATAGTAGTAGTAGTAGCAGTAGTAGTAGTAGCAGCAGCAGCTGTAGTAGTAGTAGTTATAGGAGTAGTAGTAGCGGTATTAGATTTGGGTTTTTCAATGACAAACTCTAAAGCTGACGTTGATGAGATCCAGCCATGCACAGTTACCAACATTGATATCCGAATTAATAACGGGAAGATCATTTTAAAATTTTTATTCTGCAGAATGGGAATAGTATATTTTAAGTATTTATGATTTATTTAACTAAAATAATATTATAATTATAACGATATTTAATTAATTAGTCAAATTAAAACTTCAAATCATTAAAAATTATTAAACTGTTTTAACAGTTTAGCTAACTAAACCATTCATCTACTTACTTATAGTAGTTTTTTATATACAGGTTTGAATTCTTATAAATGTAAATATATATATATATATATATATATAATATATATATATAACCCTAGTATATTTCGGTTTCCAGCCATATATATTTATATATATATAGATTATATATACATAGTACATAGTACATGTTATATTCTATATACTTATGTTTTCAGCGTTCGAATATTTTATCTTTGCTTTGCGTTGATTATATATTATCGTTGATCGATGTCGTTTTCGCTTTTACACAATTTTTAATTATTATTAATTTGGTTCGGAGATAAAATGTCGAAGCGACACAGAATTGACGTTGGTGATTCTTCATCTTCATCTAAAAAGAGGTGATCTCTAGTTTTTGTAATTTTTTCAAGTTCGACTGTTTTATTACCGTTTCTTAATCATCGCCCCTCTGTTGCCGCTGACTTTACTTTTTTTACTATAAAAAGTAAAAAATATAATTTAAAATTTAAATGCTAATTTCAAATTTTGTTTTGCAGATCGGATGATGATTCAAAGCCGGTGGTTTCAAACGTGGCGAGTTTTCCCACTGTCAAGTCAATCCTCACCCAAAATCCCTTCACTGGTAATTTTATTTATAATGTAATTCTCTTAACATTCCAAATTTACAACATTACAAGTCAAACTAAGTTATCATGCTTCTGCTGGCATAGAAACAAATATTTACCCTTAAATTGAAATTAAAAAAATTAATTGTTACTTTGTAATGTTTTATTTTGAATTATTAAATTTGGTTGTTTTAATCAAATTTTATTAGAAATTCAGTCAATATACAATTATAGATAGATAGATAGAAATTAATTAATATTATAAATAAAACTTGACATTGATTATAATTAGATAAATAATTATGCAATAATAATTGATGCTTCTTTTAACTTTTGTTTATTATGTTACAAAATTAATAATAATTAATCATAATGTCATTTTATATAAAGCCCCAGGGCAAGTGACTTAGGTGCATTATTATTAATTACTTATTAAAATTATTGAAATTGATTTGTTATAAGGTCTGCCATTCACTCCTAAATATTGGGAGCTGTACAAGAAACGTACCAATCTGCCAGTGTGGGAGTACAAAGAAAAATTCATCGACATCTTGAACAAGAACCAATGTCTTGTGCTTGTCGGTGAGACAGGTTCTGGCAAAACGACTCAAGTCTGTAGCAATCATCAATTCTTAAATTTCCTAATTTAGAACTTTTTTTGCAATATTTCATTTCATGTTTATTTTTTATTTTTCCATTAATGGTGATTTTTAATTTTTGCCACCTTGTACAATTTTTTACGAGATGTTTGCATGCTTTGTATTAAATCTTATATTTAGTTTGGCATGTTTTTAAGAAGCACCCACAATCTTTCTAGAAGTATTTACTCCAAAAAATAAATTACATTATTTCATTTTTAAGTAATTAAATTAAAAATTATTTACATTTCTGTAAAAAGATACCTCAGTGGTGTCTGGAGTGGGTAAGAGCAAGGTACACTAAGAAAGGTGTGGCGTGCACCCAACCTCGAAGGGTGGCCGCCATGTCAGTCGCTGCCAGAGTGGCAGAGGAGATGGATGTCGGGCTGGGACAGGAGGTCGGCTACAACATTCGATTTGAAGATTGCACATCGAGCAAGACAATTCTAAAGTTTGTTATCCATCTTTTAATTTAGACATATGTCACAGAGCAGATGTTTCGTAATGAAGAATATGAATACTTACCTAACTGAATGTATGCCTACTTATACTCGAATTACAGGTACATGACTGATGGTATGCTGTTGAGGGAGGCCATGTCAGACCCCCTTCTTGAGGCGTACGGGGTTGTAATGTTGGATGAGGCCCACGAACGTACCCTGGCAACTGACATCCTCATGGGTCTCCTCAAAGAAGTTTCTAGACAAAGGGCAGATTTGAAGATTGTTGTCATGAGTGCCACTCTCGATGCCGGAAAATTCCAGGTTGAGTTTCACTTTCGTTTTAGCATTTTATTTTATAACTTTTTTAAATCTTTAATTTTTATTTATGTTTAATATTGTTAATCTTATTGAAATTTGTTCACCACTATTCAATGATTTCCTCCTCAACCGTTCACATAGCAATACTTTGACAATGCCCCCCTGATGAGTGTACCTGGCAGGACCCACCCGGTTGAAATCTTCTACACCCCTGAGCCGGAGCGAGATTATCTGGAGGCGGCCATTAGAACTGTCATCCAGATACACATGTGTGAGGAGAGTGAAGGAGATATACTGCTCTTCCTTACTGGACAAGAGGTTTGTAATGCTTAGTTTTGATTGGCGGATTTGATTGATTGATTGATTGGCCATGTGATTGGTTGATTGTTTGGCTGATTAATTGGTGGTTGATTGTTTAGGATAGCTAGACAGATGAATGATTATTTCGATGGTTCATTTTTAGGTTCATTATGTAATTGGGTCATCAATTTCTGAATAATTTTCAAGTTTTCACTTGTTTATTTAAAACTATTTTCAATTTTTTTTTTCTCAATATCTCTACTCAGTGAAATAATTAATGCTTCCCCTGACAGGAAATCGATGAGGCATGCAAACGCATCCAAAGAGAGATCGACAACCTGGGGCCAGAGGTAGGAGAACTCAAGTGCATTCCCCTCTATTCAACCCTCCCACCCAATCTTCAACAACGCATCTTTGAACCTCCACCTCCCAAACGACCCAACGGCGCCATCGGCAGAAAAGTCGTAGTGTCAACGAACATTGCAGAAACTTCACTGACAATCGACGGTGTTGTCTTCGTCATTGATCCTGGATTTGCCAAACAGAAGGTGTACAATCCGAGAATCAGGGTGGAGTCGTTGCTGGTCACTGCTATCAGTAAGGTGAGTCGGCTGATCAAGATGCTTCTGATATTTCTATAATTTTCCTCTAATTTCATGCAGCATGTGATTTAATGACTGATTTTTAGAAATTTTTTGTTTGTATAAAAAATTTTCTTGTTTGGCATATGCTAACAACATCTGATATAAATTTCACCTAACTACGGCAGGCCAGTGCCCAGCAGAGAGCGGGTAGGGCAGGCAGAACCCGACCGGGAAAATGTTTCCGCCTCTACACTGAGAAGGCCTACAAGAATGAGATGCAGGACAACACCTACCCAGAGATTCTACGATCGAATCTCAGTGCCGTTGTCCTACAACTGAAGAAATTAGGAATCGATGATTTGGTGCACTTTGATTTTATGGACCCGCCTGCGCCTGAGACTTTGATGAGGGCGTTGGAACTTTTAAATTATTTGGCGGCCATTGATGACGATGGTGAACTTACAGAGCTTGGCTCCATGATGGCAGAATTTCCACTGGATCCGCAACTTGCCAAAATGGTCATCGCAAGTTGCGATTATAACTGCTCTAATGAAATTCTTTCCATCACTGCTATGCTGTCTGGTTAGTTGGTTCATTGGCTGGTTGGTGGCTCTTGTTTGATTGGTTTTTTGGTGTTTGAGGAATTGGTTGATGGCGGGGGCTTGATTTTATAATTTCATCTTTTAGAATTGTTCCTCTCTATTTAAAAACCTTTCATTGCCACTTCAGATGAAAACTTAAAAAAAAAATCTTTCGTCTAGTATTTTATCCTATTATAGCATGTATCATCCATTAATTATGTCGTCATTCATTGGACTGAACCCCTGCAGTTCCGCAATGTTTCGTGAGGCCCACCGAGGTGAGGAAGCAAGCAGATGAGGCCAAGATGAGATTTGCGCATATCGATGGCGACCACCTCACACTTCTCAATGTCTACCACGCTTTCAAACAGAGTTAGGACAATTTCATTCACTGACTAGCTTATATTAATCACAATTTTCAAATATTTGTTTGTCGAACCTAACCCCCATCTTTCCATCTTGGCAGATCACGATGAAGCACAATGGTGCTACGACAACTTCATAAACTATCGATCCTTGAAGAGTGCGGACAACGTGAGGACCCAGCTGGCTCGCATCATGGATAGGTTTAATCTACGACGCTCCAGTACAGAGTTCAGTTCCAGAGATTACTACATCAACATTAGGAAGGCTCTTGTCTCTGGATACTTTATGCAGGTTGGCTGCCTCATTGATTGGATGGTTGGATGGCTGAGTAGTGACTGATTAATGTTTGTGTGCGTGTGTCTGATTCTAATGTTCTTGGTATTTCTTGACTTTTAGTCTGTCACGTTCCATTCATAATTTATGATGAACAAACAAACAAACAAACAAACAAACCATCTGATCAGGTGGCCCACCTCGAACGCACTGGCCATTATCTGACAGTGAAGGACAATCAGATAGTCCAGTTGCACCCATCAACCTGTCTCGACCACAAGCCTGAATGGGTCCTCTACAACGAGTTCGTCCTCACCACTAAGAACTACATTAGAACTGTTACTGATATCAAGGCTGAATGGTTTGTTTCTACACTGTTTTCTTTCTACTCAAAACTCATTCGATACGCATTATGATATTTATAACTTCTCTGATCGCCATTTAATTTTATCATTCCTCCTCTTGTATAAACAACGTACTTTTAACCATCATCTGCATCATCTTCACTCACCATCGTTCTCTCGCTCAATAATTAATTCATCATCATTGCAACAGGCTAATACAGATCACGCCGCAATATTACGACATGTCAAACTTTCCGCAATGTGAAGCTAAACGAGTCCTAGAGAAGCTCATTGCCAAGATGGACTCGAAACAACAATAAATATTTCTCTCTCTCACTCTCTCTCTCACTCTCTCTCTCTTAATCTCTCTTAATCTCTCTCTTTATCTTTCTCTCTTTTTCTATTTATCGTTTCCTACCTAGACCTCTTTCTTTCTTTTTTCTTACCTTCTCTATCTTTCTCTTATGCCGACTCATTCTCGATCTTATTCTCCTCATTCTTTAAGGAATCTGTTAAATCTCTGAATTTAATTTTACATTTATAAAGGTAAAAACTATGCGTCTTCATCTCTCACCCCCCCCCCCCTCTCTCTCTCACTTTCTTCTTTTTTTAATTTGAGTTTATATGTTAAAAATGGAAGAAAATTTAATAAAAAAATATTAACAATGATGATAATTTTATTAAAAACTATAATGGTAAAAACTCTAACAATTGCAGTATTGTAGAACGCTAAAAATTATGCAAATGTTCGGTGAAGTTGGTTGTGTTGTTTAATGTCATTGTTAAGTAAAATCGTATTATATTATTATCCTTATTATTATTATTTTAATATCAGCTGACTAAAAAAAATGGTTGCATGGTTAAAATGAACTAGACAGGCTGCAAATTTGTTCTCGTTTTTAATGGTCATCATCAACGGATCGTCATTAAGATAACAATTGGATAGTTTTGTTATCTCTCAATGTCTCTATGTCCTTTGTAGTGAATGTTATTAACGTTTTGTTACTTTAGGCAAAAATAATTTTTTTTAAATTATGAAAATAAAGTGATGTGTATGTTGGGAGTTTGTTTTTTTCTTTATGTTGAGGTTGTTTTTGGTGTTACCTTTGACGGTCATCTTACTAAGTTTGGCGAAGAAATTTAGTGATTAGTGGTTATTATTATTTTTTATTAGTTCCCCAATCAATATAGACCCCAGAATGAACCGATTAGGCAACTTTAACGTATGAGATACGCAGTAAAATGTACGAAAGCGTTAACGCTCCCTTGCACTTGGCCTATATCTGGTAAATTTTTTGTAGTTTTCTCTCTTAGTTCAAATTGTTCAATTATTCTTATGGCTTAACTCTTGAGATACGTTTTAATATTATGTCTACCTTGATGGACAGCAACCACGAAACACACGCACACATGTGCATTTCATTAAAAACTAGCCAGCAGTTATCTATCAAGTGCAAAGCCTAATGGGTGGAGAACAACATGACAATCGAATGATTGAATGAATCTTCGATAAATGGCCTGGCTCGCTTGCCTGTGTGTTTTACTTGTGTGTGTTTTACGCGTGTGCGTGCTTGTAACTATATATAAGCGTGTGCAGGTATGGTTTGGTCTGTTTAACTTCTTCATAAGTGAATGTAGGTGCTTTCTACGCACATGACAATCTCAAACACAGACAACAAAGTTATGTTAGTACATTATCATTATTGTATGTATTAAATTTAAAATTTCTATCTTTCTCTCTCATCTGTCCCAATTTTCTCTCTGTGTCATACATCATTCAATACTCATGAAAATTGATATTTATGTAAATATTCTCAACCAAAACGTAGTACATAATACAATCGATATTATATATATATATATATATATATATATATATATATATATATGGGTACATTTTGAAATATAACACGTGTTGCGTAGTTGATATGAAATTATTTCTTGGATACACACACACAAACACACGTGTACATACATACATCTTTACATACAGATACATCTTTCTCTCTCATCTGTCCCAATTTTCTCTCTGTTTCATACATCATTCAATACTCATGAAAATTGATATTTATGTAAATATTCTTAACCAAAACGTAGTACATAATACAATCGATATTATATATATATATATATATATATATATATATATATATATGGGTACATTTTGAAATATAACACGTGTTGCGTAGTTGATATGAAATTATTTCTTGGATACACACACACAAACACACGTGTACATACATACATACATACATACATACATACATACATACATACATACATACATACATACATACATACATACATACATACATACATACATACATACATACATACATACATACATACATACATGATTATCGTCAACATCATCCTAACCATACAGATAACTTTTATCAGTGAGTGACGATATTTTAATGATGATATATGCTGATATGGTAATATCATGATACAAGCATACGACCATCACATGATTTTTTTACCTTAGTTATTTATAAATAACTATCATAAAATAATACTTATTCAATCGTAACATCTGTGTATTGTGTACGTGTGTGTGTGGTGTTTGTGTTAATAGGTAGGCAGGCATACTACAGTATATATATATATAATAGGTATATATATATATATAATGTATTTCTTGTATAACGTATATATTTTCTAGTATAAAAATAGATGGCACGTTTGCGGGTTAATGTTTTTGTTCTATTTTAAGGTGTTTCTGTCGTTTTAATTCACTAATTATTAGCTTAATGACTTATTTAATTGAGCATTTGAAGCTCATTTTACGATTTTACCTGTTGTTGTTGATTTGCGATATTATTTAAAGAGATATTTACTTTGTTTAAAAGTTAATTCAAGTTTTAATAGTAATTAATTTTTGGACTCAGTGTGAAGTTTGTAAATTTCAAGTGTTCTCACATAGAAAAAGCTCAACTTTGTGACCTGAGATTGAACATTTCTTCAAAGTATTTTAAAGTAAGTGTATTTTAAAACATTTAATTTACATTTTTTTAACCTGTAGATGTTAATTTTTTTCTTTTAATTTGAGAAAATTATTGTTTTTTAATAGTATAGTTATTAGAAATAATCAGTTTTTATACTTAATAGTATGCTCAATATTTGACTATTATAAGTATTTTTCGTCAGTGTATTTGATATTATAGATAGTTACTAACTCATCCATAATTATTTTCTTTGTTATTTTTGTTTAGTTTTATTTATATTATTATTTTGTTATTATAAAAGCTTGTTTATTTATATTATTATATTTTTCTATTCAGATTACTTTCTGAAATCTTATTAAAGATTATGACAATATTAATAATAATAAGATTATAATATTATAATTATATCATTCTACTATAAAATAAGTACATGCCACATAGGCTGCAGCACAGTAAGAGCCTAAGAACAGTGTACTATGGGTTCCCATCATAAAGTAGTTGTCATAGGAGGAGGTCTTGCTGGGATTTCCGCTGCCAAAACCTTGATTCAGAATGGTGTTCAGGATGTGCTGCTCATTGAGGCTAAAGATAGGCTCGGAGGAAGAGTTCATACAATTATTCATGGTGATGAAAATATCATTTTTACCATTTTTTTTCATTTTTACAATTTTATTTATCAAAATTTGTTAATTATTTTTCTCTCACATCACACTTTTACTGTTTTAGCTATTGAATTCCTTTTATATTTTTGTTATGGCATAGTTTATAATAGTTCTCATGATTCAAAATGTTTTTTCTAAAGATGATGGGGGCCCATTGGAACTCGGGGCACAGTGGATTCACGGGGAAAAGGGCAATGATATTGCCGACCTTGCCAAACAAATTGACTGTGTGTACCACTTTAAAGGTTGGCTGGTTGATTGGTCGGTTGGTTGGTTGGTCGGTCGGTCGGTTGGCTGGTTGGTTGGTTGAATGATTGGTTGGTTGACTAGTGACTGATTAATGTTTGTGTTTGTGTGTTCCTAATGTTCTTGGTATTTCTTGAGTAGGGTAAAAAGGTAATTATTAAAGATTATTAATCACAATGTTGAGTAATTAATATAATAACTAGTTAAATACGTACATGTATGCATCTTCATTTAACGTTTCATTCAGCAATAAGGTTGATATATTTTGTAATGATTCATTCCACAGATGAGGCAACTAAAAGAGAATGGTCAGAGTATTATGATGAAGAGGAGGAAGAAGAGGAAGATAAAGAGGAAGATGAAGAAGATGATGTCAGTGATGATGAAAGTGGCTATTTTCTTTCGGACTCCACACCCATACCTGAAAATCTTGTGAGAGAGTCATTCATCAAATTTGATATGGCGTTAGAAGAGGCGGATACTTACTATGACAAGAAAATAATCAAAGACAACAGCATAACGATAGGAAAGTTCATTGAGAACAAAGTTCAAGGCTATCTAAACTCTAGCAAGAACAAAAAAGCAAAAGTAGGCTGTACAAACATCCAGACCATTAAAAGGTCTTTGATAGATTGGCGTATTCTCGCCGAGAACGTTGAGAATGCGTGTTCTTCTCTTCAAGAAATTGCTCTAAATGTGTGGGGCGAATATTACTTGCCACCTGGTGTGGAGAGCTTGGAACTTGGTAGCAAAGGCTATCAACCTATTGTTGACTTTCTTGCAAACGGCATTCCGAAACATTCGATCAAGTTGAACACAGTTGTTGAGTCTTTAGAATGGAGCCCTGGTTATAAGAATGATAACGCGAAGCATAACCGTAATAAGAATGAAGACGAGGATGATGACAGCACTGTGAACGATGATGAAAGGTTGGAGTGTTGCAACCGAAACATAAACGAGAGTGGTTACTACCTGAAACTGATGGACAAGAAAGACGACCACGCATTCAATCAAGTCATGAACAATGTCGTCAATAGTAAAAACACTGAAGATGGTTATGGCAAACCCTTGAAGGTGAAATTAAACTCCGGTGAAACGGTAGAGGCAGATCACGTCATTGTCACCTTGCCACTCGGTGTCCTTAAACACCTGTGTGGCTTCGACAACCACCAAATCTCTGGTGTCACCAGCAAAGACCAGAACTTCTTCTTGCCTTCTCTACCGAAACCATACTTGCACTCCATCGACAAACTGGCCTACGGGACGGTGGACAAGATATTCCTAGAGTTTGAGAAGCCCTTTTGGAAAGCTAAAAATTCGACTGGCGTCCAATTTGTGTGGAGACGTGGTGAGGTTCTAGAGCTGGATTGTTTAAACAAATATGGCAGGAGCTATGAGGTGATGAATTAATTCATCATTACAATTATAGTTAGGCATAATTATTTAGAGTTATAATTTGAAAAATTAGTATTTATGATTAAATAACTTTCATCTTATTATATTTGTTGATAGCATTTTATCTTGTAACCTACCTCATACGACCACTTTTTACTAAAAATGTTGCATGTTGAACACCCTTCAGAACACAAAGTGGTACCAGTCGATACAGGGCTTCAATACCCTCCTGCAGCACAGAAATATGTTATGTGGGTGGGTGGCCAGCTCGGAGGCAGTTGAAATGGAGAGGGAGAGTGACGATCTTGTGATGGATGTCTGTGTTGAGTTGCTGCAGAGGTTCAGTGGAAAGAAAATGGACAGACCTTTCAGGATGATTAGGTAATGTGTTCCGAAAATACTTTAAATTCATACGCTTGGGGCTGGAATTAGGGATGTGCTTTTTGATAGTTTAAATGAATTTTTATACGATTTAAGATCCAAATGGGCTCTGGATCCGTTCAGCAGAGGTGTTTATTGCTACAGAAAGATTCCATCCTCCTATAAGAACAGTCTGCAGTTGGCTCGTGCTCTCCCGACTAATGATGTTGGTGATGGAGGTTCAGTGGTGATTATTGGTGACGATTGGTGTAATCATTTTTAAAAATGAATTTAAAATAATACATTGAAGATGAGTTGATGAATTTTTTATGATAGTTTTCATATTTGTTAATATTTCCGTGACACATGTATTATTACATTTTGGCAATTGTTTGTTTTGCGCATGATTAGAGAGGGCACAGTTGAATTTTCAGAAATTGGGATTTACAGATACAAATTAATTGATGAATGGATTGATTGATTGATTGATTGATTAACTGATTGATTGATTGATTAACTGATTGATTGATTGATTAACTGATTGATTGATTAACTGATTGATTGATTAACTGATTGATTGATTGAGAGTTAATCGCTTCCCTATTAAATTTTCAAAAACGTTCCAGAATCCGCGCCTGTTGTTCGCCGGTGAAGCCACACATTGCCACTTCTACTCGACGACTCACGGCGCCATGGCTACAGGCGTCACGCAAGCTCACAAGATCATCAAACATTATTCGTAATTATTATTATTAAAAAAAAATATTTAAAGATAGCTATCTATATCTACGAAAGAATTATTATTATTTTCACTGTTACTATTTTAAGTAGTAGTATTCTTACTTCTTAATTGCATCCGTAATTATCGTAAAAAATAACACACACACATACATTCACATACACACACATAATTCACACACACACATAATTCACACACACATACACACACCACACACACACACACACACTTATATGATATACATTATTTATTTATAAACTTTTTCCATGTCGTTGTGATCTAATTATCTATTTAAAGTCAACTGATTCAAATTATCTACACAGCACACACACACACACAAACACACACACACACACATTACCAAATCAGGGATTTTTATTTAATTAAATTTATACTGAACTCTCGTTAGGATATTTAAAATATGCAATTTCATATAAACACAAATTATGTATGAGTGTGTGCTTGTGTAGTTATGTAATTACATGTGAGCCCGTTTGTGCGTGCGTGTGTGTATGTGTTTGTGTGTGTGTGTGTTTGTGTGTGTGTGTGTTTGTGTGTGTATTTTGAATGGTTTTTCTTCGCATTTTACAATATCCTTTAAGGTTACTTCATTTTCAATTTGATTTTTCAACACTGTTATGATTGTTGCTATTGTTATTGTTATTATTATTATTATTATATGATCGTTTAATGGATTATTTCTTTGTATATGTTTTTTTTATTTATTGATTATATAATCTATAATTCTTTCCTGATTATTTCGCATTTATTTCATTCATTCCACACGCTAATTCATCGCACACACAAACACACACATACAAACACATACAAAC